GAGAGGTTAAAGTAATATTTAGTTAAATCTTTGTTTTATATTCTAAAGTAAATTGATTATATATTAATTAATGATGTGCATATTAAATATTCTATGAGGATTTGTAAAATTGAACAGTTTCACTGATGAAATTATAGAACTAGTAATGATTTAAGGGTCTCTGTGTTTTAAACAGGAGGTAATAATACCATATCTTCAATCTAATTTTGCTTGCACTTTTTAATCATTAAAGATTACCTATTCTTAAATGTTTGTAATATCTAATCTAGATTTTAAATCATTTTTTGCCCACCAACTCTGTAAAATGATTGTATGGGTTACTCCATTTTTAACACAGATGTTGTAACTATTAAACATTATATATTGCAACACTTGAAAGGTCTACAGCAAAGATCATCTTCAATGATTTTAGTTTGGTGTATGCCAGAAAGTTTATAAATAAAAGCTTTATTCAAATTTCTATTCATTTTATTGTCTTCTTCTTTATTTTCATTCATTTACCCACGCATATACTATTCGTTTCTATACTTAATAGGATACTAATATTATACTAATCCTTTTTAGAGGGAAAAAGGTATAAAATAGATTAAAAATATATGAATACAAGTCATAATAATTATTCTTTACTAGTAACTAAAAGTCTACAATCTAATTGTGGGATTTTAATCTCTTAAGTATCCGAGGACAATGTTTAGATTCTATTGTAGTTATTTTAATGTCAATTAAAAGATATTCATGTTAAGAATAATTCTTAAAATCCATTTTACTTAATTTTTCATTATATTTATACTTTTAATTCCCTCCAAGTTTGACTGAAAAAGGTATATGTTATTAGTATAACATTGATCCAAACAGTTCAGATATAGGTACTAGAATACGCCCATAGTACCCAAGGAAGGGAATATAGAGTGGCCATGCCGCAATACTTTTAAATTTTTGTTTTTTTTTATCCCAAGAACTCAATTTATCAGGCATGTCTATCTTTATCATTGTAATCGGAAACATTATCCCTTATAAAAGTATTTAATTATCATTCCATTGAATAAATTGTAATATCAATTTTTCATTAAAGATAACATCAAAATAACATGATCAAAGTAGCAAAGAGAGATGAAATTTATAATTTTAATCCAGATTAAAACTATACATTTGATCTGTAATTTTTCCTGCATATTAAATCTATGAAAAATTCTTAAAATTAACAAAGTTTAGAGTAAAAAAAGTTTGTTTT